GGACCGGGTCCGCTTTCAAGCAGCAGTCACCGAGGTCGCGCAGAGGCACGAGTCGCTGCGAACCGCCTATGTTACTGACCCCCACGATCAAATTCCCCGGCGCGTGTTTTTGGGCCAGCCTCAGATTACATGGAGGGAGGTCGGTATGAAGAGTGATGACAAGGACGTGATCGCAACAGAGTTCGAAGCCCTGCAAACCAGAGCGTTCGACCTCGCTAAGGGCCAGACCATGGCAATCACTATTCTCAGCCACGGATCTGCACGCCATGCCATCATCTTTGGCTATCACCACCTTATAATGGACGGTGTGAGCTGGCAAATGGTGCTGCGCGAGTTTGCTGCCGCCTACCAGGACCGTCAGAGTCTGTCGCCAGTGGTCGCTCAATACAGTGCGTTCTGCAACCAGAAGTGTTCGACCAGCGAAGCTACTACACCCGCATGGAATGAAGGGCCATCTTCAACATACACAGACGGTCAATTGCCCGACGATCTACCTTTATTCCCATTTGCTCGAACAGGATTCCGCACCCGAACGCGCACGAGCTATGAGACCATCCGCGTCAGCTCGTACCTAGGCACAGAGGATGCGAGTCGAGTGCGCTCCATCAGTTCCCGCACCGGTGCCACTTCCTTCCACATCCACCTAGCTGCCATTCAGCTCCTCCTTCAACAGACCCTCGAGGTAGACCGATTCTGTCTCGGAATCGCTCACGCTAATCGCAATGATCCGCGCTTTGAACGGGTCGTTGGGTTGATGGTTGAGGTCGTGCCGCTGATGTTCGAACCACAACAGGCGCAAGGGTTCAAAGACCTGGTCAAGGATACCCGGTCTCGCGTGCTGGGAGCATTGAGCCAGGCTCATGGTAGTGGAAAATCATCCCGTCCCTGTGATATTGTCGTCAACTACATTGCCGGTGTCACGCACGACATCATGTTCGATGAGGCCGTGTTGAAGTACTCGACATCCGAGGATGCTCGTCAGCCGCATGACTTGGTCATCACCGTCCGGGATAACCCTGACGGCACGACGGTCATTACTTTCGGCGCTCTCGAGTACCTGTACCACGCGCATGATGTTCAGCTCCTGTTGGACCTCTATGTGCGACTACTAGGCTCCGTGTCCCTGAACTCTGATCTCAAATTAGAGCAGTACCGATGCTTGGAGCCGTTGTGTCTGAAGGCCCCGAGTCAGCCGCCCACCAGCCAGGCAGAGTTGAGCGCCATCCAGAAAGAGCCTGATCGGCTTACCCAGTGGATTGCTAGAATCGCAGCAACTTATCCGGATACAGTCGCACTGAAGGATGGTAACGGGAGAGAGCTCACCTACGCCGTAATGGAGAGCAGAGTGCGCTCCATTATGGACATTCTCCTCGCAGTCGGAGTTCAACCTCGAGCATTCGTGGTGGTGGCCTGCGGGCCGTCCGTCGACACCGTCTGCGCCTTGTTGGCTATCTGGCGGCTTGGGGCAGTCTATGTTCCTGCAGACCTCGAGCATGGTGTCGAGCGGCTGTCCCTCATCCTGAAAGACTGCAGTCCCGCGGCTCTAGTGTGCCGCTCGAGAGCGGGAGTGGATCATTTCATGGCCGATCAGGGGCCCCAAGTCGTGGAACTCAAGATGCATTTGCCGCCTCCATCTCCTGCCACGCTGGACTACGATCGATCTACCGGGCAGGACCCGGCCATCTTGATCTATACTAGCGGAACAACCGGGGTGCCCAAGGGAGTCTTGCTCAGCCATGATAATTTACTGTGCCATTTTGCAGCAGTGCAACAGGTATTCCCCGTTGATCAACCGGTGGTCTTGCAGCAGAGCTCGCACAACTTCGATGCATCCTTCTTCCAGATCTGCGTTAGTCTGCTACACGGAGGCACCCTAGTCATGACCAGCAATCGTCAGGATCCGATAGAGCTTGCCGAGTTGATGGTACGTGAGAAGGTCAGTCTTACTCTTGGCGTCACATCCGAGTATGCCCTGTGGCTTGGTGAAGCTGCCTCCGTGCTCAGAAATTGCACATCTTGGCAGTATGCCCTATGTGGTGGGGAGAAAATGAGTTCTGGCACACTTCAAGGCTTCTCGGGACTCAATATCGCCCGCCTCAAACTTATAAACGCGTATGGCCCTTGCGAGGCCTCTGTCGCCTGCACGATGGGAGAGATTGACTACAAGAGAAATAATCTCCATGACAGTCACGATCCAATCCCAGTTGGGCAACCGCTGCCAACTTATGCGATCCACATCCTAGACGATCAATTGCAGCCGGTAGCCGCTGGATGGCCAGGCGAGATTTGCATTAGCGGGGGCGCCGTGTCATCATCTGGTTATTGGAATCGTGAAGACGAGACTTCTGCCCGTTTCCGCGTCTTCAACGGCATCCGAATCTATCGGACTGGAGATTACGGCCGCATTCTGCCGAACGGTAACCTAGAGTACCGCGGGCGACTGAAAGGGAACTCCCAAATCAAGTTGCGAGGAATGCGCCTGGAACTTGAGGAAATTTCCAGTGTGCTTGTCCAGACGTCCCAGGGTGTTTTACGAGAGGCTGCAGTTATCGTCAAGGGCCACCCTGAGCCATACCTCGTAGCATTTGTGGTCTTCTCCACCTCCGGCTCTCCGGCGAATGTTGGCTCTTTCCTCGATACATTGCGTAGTGGCCTTCCACTTCCCACATACGCCAAACCCACGGCGATCACCCCTATCGACCGCATCCCGCTGACCACCAGCGGCAAGGTTGATCGTACAGCCCTGGCTAGACTCGAGATCCATCAACACCAAAGCGTATCATCTACGTCCGGAGCGCTAAACATTATTGAGATGAAATTGAAAGAGTTATGGCAGGAACTTCTCCCAGCGACGGGGCTTTCAATCACACCGCAGTCGAATTTCTTCGACCTGGGAGGCAACTCGCTGCAGATCCTAAGGCTGCAGGGACGTATTCGAGCAATCACGAAGGTCAGCGTACCCGTGGTACATCTCTTCCGATGCTCAACCCTGAGTGAGATGGCCCAGCTGATTGGAGCGGCCACAAGCGCGCACCGAGCATCATCCCCACCTCCACCAGCGCCAGCAGCTTCGATCCTCATCGACTGGGAGGCCGAAACCGCCATTCCCAGCTCCTTTGACAACCTGATCACCATCTCAGATCCTCACACACAACTACCATTCAACCCACCCCGAGAGGTCATCCTCACCGGCGCAACAGGCTTCTACGGCACTGCTCTCCTTGACCACCTCCTCTCAATACCCTCCATAACCCGCATCCACTGCCTCGCTATTCGCCCCAACGCAGACGGATCCCCCCGACAGCTTGAGCACCTTATATCCCCCAAGGTCCATCTCTACAGCGGCGACCTCTCTCATCCAACCCTCGGCCTCACAGAAGCCGAAATCGCTCACCTCGCCTCCACTGTCGACTGCATCATCCACAACGGCGCCGACGTATCATTCCTAAAGCCGTACTCGGCGCTGCGTGCTCCCAACGTCGACTCCACGAAATTCCTCTTCAATCTCGCCATTTCCCGCGGCATCCCCTTCCACTATATCTCCACTGCTAGCGTGACATCCTTATCTGGGAAGGACGAGTTCCTTGAGTCCTCGGTAGCCAGTTATCCCCCACCCAAGGACGGATCACCCAGTGGACATACGGTGGGCTACACGGCTAGTAAATGGGCCAGCGAGGTATTTCTTGAGAAGGCTAGTACAATATACACTGATGTGCCGGTGTGTATTTATCGCCCTACTGCTATTACTGGAGAAGGGGACATGGCCATTGCATCAACGAGTGGCGGTGTTATTGAATCTGTGTTAGATCTGAGTCGGCGGATGAGAGTTATCCCTGAGACTTGGTTGTGGAGGGGTTATATTGATTTGATTGGGGTGAAGAAAGCGGCCGAGATGGTGGTGGGGAGGGTTGTTGGTGGTGATGATGCTAGTGGGGTTGGAGTACAATATTCGCATGTTTGTGGGGAGAAGCGGTTCAAAGCGAGTGGTTTGAGGATGTTCTTGGAGAAGGAGGTGGGCAGTGAATTTCAGCAGGTGGAATGGAAGGAGTGGTTGAGTATGGCAGCTGAGTATGGGATTGATGATGGGGTTGCTGCTTATTTGGAGGGATTGCAGGCGGGGAGTGGGAGTTCTGCGGACTTGTTCTTTTTGCCGTTACTGGGGGGTGGATTGAGTGGTTGTTAGGGGTTTGCCTTGTAGCAGTCATTATTCTCCATATTTTTAAAGTTTTTCTGGTACAATATTGATCCACATTGCATAAGCTTCGATCTCATTTGAATACTCCAGGTCATAATTATATGATACTAATATTGGTTCTCCTATGGTTGCGTGGTTTGAGTTCTCGTTATAGATGGCTATAGTTCGTTATTATATATAGTAACGGCGCCCTAATAATCTCTACCACTTAAGTGCCAAGATGAGATCAATTCTGACCCAACGTAGCGTGACTAGTTTATTGTGTAGCGGGGAACTGTCGAGCATAATTACGAGAGCAGAAAAAGACAAAATGAGAATTGTCATTGTGGCTGAAGAAAAGAAAATTATTTCGAAGAGGAATTTCTTCCATTGTGGAAACTAAGTGTTGTTGTTGCTTACTGCAGAAAAAGAAAAACAAAAGAAGAAACTCCGATGCGGGGAATCGAACCCCGAGCTGCCGTGTGAAAGACGGCGATGTTAGCCGTTACACCACATCGGACTTGTTATGTAGGTCAAGCGATCAAGAGGCATTATATTCTAAGATTACTAAATGATGTAAACAACTTCGCTTGGGGGAGGGAAAACAACTGATAGATGTCGATTTCATTCTTTATCATTGAATTTATCCCTTATTCTTCGGATTATTAAACAAAGAAGTCTGCTTGTATGTATTACGTTTGGTTTGCCAATGCTGAGCAGAGGCATAACTGGTGTATTGTGATGATGCTGAGACGCGAATTTTTAAGAGACACCAGGTCTTGGTAGTGATAAGCCAGACTAGAACGCCAATATGAGATGATTGGCACTACCAACCCCATAATGACCCGCCCTCATTCTCATTATGCTCTCTCATCTTGAGTGTTACCTCCCACGTCCTGCCACACTTATCTTTCAAGTTCCATTGCGCGTTGGTAAGGCCCTGCGACTGAGCCGAGTCAATCAATTTCCTGACCAGACGTCCCTGATTCTTTTGGGAGTACAAGAAGTCAAAATCTCCCCTGCTCGACGCTCGCTCGGCGGCATGTTTGAATGTATTCTCCACTTCCTGTGCAAGGTGGGCCGACAAATTATAGATGACCCTCATTGTCTCTGACACTTGCATCGCGAACGAATTTGCTACTGCCTCGAGCCCTTCCATCCCTCCTGATATCCGCTCGAGTAGATCGGCCCTTTCGAGATTGATGGATGCTGATTTGACGGATTCTGCGATGTCGGGTTCTGCGAGAGGCACTATGACGTTGGTCTCTAAGCGGAGGACATGGTCAAGCTCAGTAGTGATGAATATGTCAAAGGCTTCGTCGTCGTAGGTACCATCGTCCGCGTGATTGGTTATGTCAACCGTGCGGAAGAAAGCATGGGCAATAGGGACCATAACATGGCTTCTATCCTGCGCAGGGAGATTGTATAGGTAATTGGTCTCAAACCCTTCATTCGCAAATACTGAGGACTCCACGGTACCGGATATAACCTTTACGGATCTGCCGACGACGTTGTTAAGCCCATGGAGGTTCAAGCAGCCGTTCATGTTCTCGATAACTCCGAGGATGGATCCAGTGCAGTCGTCATTCTCGTACACTATAACTGAATGTTGGTCGTCGTAGACATTGTCAATCTTCACTAGTATTGATTTCGCATCGATATGATTGAGTTTGTTGCACGCAGTAGCTCCCGCAAGCGGATGAAATCCAGCTTCAGCTTTTGTGCAGCGATTGCCTGTGTACTCAGTTAGACGGTATCCGAGAGTTGTAGCAAAGAGTACCGAGACAATCAGCAAACGGAGCATGTTGACGGAACGACCAGAAGAAGACAAGAGTGATGATTCATGCATGGATATGCAGGATATTCTGGGTATCATGGGAAGCTTGAACTGGCCCCTTTCTTATCCCATCCAAATAAGATAGAGGCTCCTGGAGGCCGGATCTAGGAGATCATCCATTTATACCTTCGTGTCTGGCGGTTGTGGAGTTCCGACATGCAAAGATCCCCTAAAGCTTAGTGCCATCACATGCACTTGCGGAGTGTTCCGTTCTTCCAGCAGAGGAAGTGACTTTCCTCGGTGTTCTCCAAGTCTCAGCCTTATGAGGCGGTCCTACCCGAGCAGTTCGCTTAGTTCCTACCAAGTCTTGCTCAGAATTATTGCCTTGTCCTCGCTCAAGGGAGTGTTCACACTGCAAGAATTGCTTGCCGACAAAGAACTGGTGCATGTTCCAGATAAAATCAACTGGTACTGCCGTTTAAAGTGAGTTGCAGAACACAGAATTTGCAAGGTTTAGGGATCAAGGAAGAACCGGCGCTGTCGGGACACCAAAAGCGGAAGAACCGAGACTAGCCCTCCAAGGGCAACAATGTCCAACCGATCGTTAAGTACTTCACCTTCGAACCGAGGAATTAATGGAGCATGACAATTTCAAGGAGAACTACGCCGATGCTGTGTGGCCCAATGTAACCTTTGGGAATCACCACCCTACTTGGTTTATAGTCACTAGGTTTTACATAAGGTTGTTGCCATAGGGACTTTTGGACTGCTTCTGCCCTAATATTCCTCTTCCCAAGACTGTCATTCTACGTGTAATGTCTTTATCACATTGCGCATGTCATCTGGAGTCTATGATAGGTTTATCATAGCGAGTTCGCTCCTAGTAGTTGGAATATTTGTATGAGCTTATACATTCTATATTACTGGCAATCTTAACTGGGACCTAACTCCAAAAGTATTTGATCTGGACTTTTCTATAGCTTACCGTAGCCCTATCGTATTACGTCCTCAAATGACGCCACAGGTTGAACATCAAATCCGACCCATCCAAGATCCTCCTGCCTAAAAGCACTAGCATTTTACAGCCCCCCCCCCCCCACGCGAACGGATTTATGTGAAACTGTCCGATATAGTTGTTGATCATGTCCCAACCCGCAAACACCAAAGCGCCCTTAACAGGAGTTATGCCCGCCCCATCACGAACCCAGTTTCCGAGACCTTCCCGCGCCCAGGTACTGTAAAAAGCGTCTAAAAGACCGCCAACTATCATTGCACGGGCAGTGATGAAACCCAGCATCACCATGGCCTGGGATTCAATGGGAAGGCGAAGCGACAATCGATAATGCAATACACTAAATAGGTAGGCCCGTCGTTGGGCTGGGGACAACCGACCGTGGTCTTGAAAGACAAATCGATCGATGAGTGTCTCATGAGAAGATCCGCGCACCTTCCGGATTATGAAACGAAGAAGTGCTGTTGTTATCCCATCTTGGTCTGTCTGATCCTTCGTTATGGACTTGCTGGCTTTGTTCAAGCTCGCCTCTATAGACGGGCCTGAAGTAGCAAGAAGTTTATCTAGGAGGAAAGGATCGGATACACTGAGGTAGCGGGAACTTGGGTCCGAATTTGTGGGACGTAGTGCTGTTTCTCTAGTGAATGCTGTTTTGGCGTCTGGGTGCTCTGTAAAGGAGGTATAGAATCGTGGAGTCAAAGTCTCGATTACCAGAACGGGCCTAGGATGGGATGTTGGGGCAATGGGAGAGTTGAAAGTAAGGCGATCGAAGTTTATCGACCTTGGGGATATATATTCGATGCACAATGGAAATGTACAATGAGCGGCGAGTTGAGAAAGATATTCTCGGAAGAATGGTTCCAAAGATCTGTCTCAATTGGAAGATGTTAGAACTACGTAATACAAAACAAGGGGAGTTGCAACTGACCTTTCAACATTAGTCTCTTTTCGTGGATTTGCCCCAGGGTGGACCTCAGGCCTTTGTAGATACTTCAGATTGCCACGAAAGCGAATTCGCAAGGCCTCCTTGACTATCCGGGGCCAAGACATCACTCCAACATGCGTCCATCGGGCGATGAACTGAGCAATAGTCCAGCCACTGGCCGTCAAAGGGTCGACGGGATCACCCCAAGACGCGAGACGACTTGTGACTTTCACCTGCCCATCTGGGTCGTTGGAACTCAACGTGGACTGGAGGGACGGCCCTTGGAGAATGTCCACGGTCTTTGAAAGTATATAACCCCCCACCTTTTCGAAAGGAGAACCAAAAAATACTTTATCATAGTATCCTTTGTAGTATTTTTTTTTCGAAGCGGAGGAGAGAGAGTGGAGAGATACCGACTCGCTAACCCCCTTAGCTGAGGCTACTATGGTCGAGGGAGGATGTGGAGGCTCATCAACAGGCATTCCATCCTGAGACAAGCGGAAGAATATGTTTCTCCTCTCATAAAAAGAATTATTGACCTCCATAATCATTGCAGTCAGCTCCCGAGCTGGTGAGTAGAGATACCAGTAGGTGATAACAAATTTCTGCCACCATAAGAATTGGGGGACACTGAGCATGTAAGCGTACGGAAATTCCTTAGGGTTCTCGCCCTGATCAAGTCAGTTATGAGATCAAAGAAAGTTTAGAAAGGATAAGATCGTACTATGTTAGTGAGGAAGATATGCAATTTCTCCTCGAGCGTTAGGTCACTACTCCCAGGCTCAAGATACCTGGCCGGGTCGATGGTGAACCAGCATTTCTCCAGAATGCTCTCCGACGTTGGATTATTGTCAATAGAGATGAGATTTCCGATGCGACCGCGAAACCCCACTGGGATTCCTACCATAAAGTAGTCATACCAGTAATTGTATCGTTCATTTACAGGGAATCTGCGTGCATGGGACAATTTGGCTGGAAAGAGAAGAGGCTTGCCTAAGAATTCTCGTTTCACGTGGGGATTGTGTACGATCAAGCGCTGTCTCGACAAGGCGGCCATGACCAGTCTAATGAATAGGAATAGAATGCTAGCCACCACAAGAAAAAGTAACAGTCCGAGGATCTCTTGCAATCCAGCATCTCTCTTCGAAAACAGATACGTTGCAACGAAGACCAAGTACACAAGATTCTTGAAAAGCATGATGTCACAAAAGATACCGAGGAGATAATGAACAGAGACACAGACAGTCTGAAGCGGGTTGGTATAACCACCGGAAGGACTTTAAAAACCTCCCTTCAAACAGCCATCTATTGATCAACGTTAAGCTGAATAAATTTACAAGTCTCAGCCCACGACAAGAATGCCAGAAACATCATCATGCATATAATGCCAAAGAAAGGATATTGCAGTCTTGCTCTCGAGTAGACCAGTGCCTCGCAGCTGGAATATAAACGTTATTTGGCTAGCAGGAGGGGAAACCATCACCCCTACAGGGCAACTTAACTGATTCGTCCCATACCACTTGCCACTAGGGTATGACAACTGTATCCACCTAAAAAGAGCGTACACAGGTCGGCAGCTCTGAATGGTCAGGTAATGCCTCCCATACATTATTGTATTGACTCACCAAATTCTGGTGTTATCATACTTATAACATGAACAAGGGCTAGTAGAGATGTCAAACATAGGTAGTTATCTTTGTCTCCGTGTTATAAGCCCATATTATAGGTTTGGAATACATTCCCTGACTTATGTCAATCAAAGTGCATTACGCAGAACATTGCGTATTGGTGGAACATAACTTGATGGGTACTTGATATTAGGGGTGCAAGGCATTCTCAAATGTTCGAAGCAATGAGATAATGGTGGGAAGAATGGCATATGTAGTGTGTCGAGCAACGCACACCGCGTAAAGACATGCATCATGCAGCCCGATGAATTGGGGGACATGATTGACAGCCCTATTTGTATAGACTATCAGTGTCCACGGGTTCATAAAAGGCAAGTCTATGCGAGTCGACCATATTCTGTCAGCATCTGGACTCCGCTGAAGACGACAGCTTTCCAAATAATTGCATCAGCAACACGTAACTGTGCGCGTGAGACCGAGCGGATAGTTCGTTCTGGCGGTGTCCCTTGCTCGGCACTGGGTTACACAGCATAATCCCTACCACAGCAAGAACCCAATCTGTTTTGCCAAGATGTTTTGCCCTCAATCATGACCGAGTGGAGCGGGTGAGTGTTCGTGCCGATCGAATTGGTGCCCGTAGCCGAACCCGATGCGTGGGTACGATGGAGGCTGCATCGGAGATCTGGATGTCCTGTTGCTCCCACTTCCCCGCCATGCTAATACAACTTAGGCGAAAGTTGAGGATTTCTGATTCATGATCGCGTTCTGGAAGTAAAAAAACAAGTAAGATTGGGCGTAGATTGGAGGTGCTTCAATACCATTTCCCCTCCCTCCCCCCACTGACCGTGTCCTTGTAGATTTCACCTAGATTAAAAATCATATGAATTTTATCATAACGCATAGCAGTATTGTAAACTATACCTAAGTAGGCAAACTGATTAGCTTAGGTATGGATTTTTGGGGGCCAACTGCGGTGGGATGTCGTGGCGCGCTAAACAGTGGTCTCAGCCCAATCCCACTAGTGGGTCAGCTGTAAGCAAAAATAAAGTTCCGATAGCAAATGTGATTCCAGGAAACTTCGGCTTATTCCCAAAGGAGAAAGCCTATTGCGAGCCGTTCTGAACGGTGTTCTGTGGTAGCTGAGAAAACCTTTGCTTTCCCCCTACTAGATTAGTAAATAGTACTAGGAACTGGCACTACCACTATGACACAGCCTAATCCCCACAGTCGTTATATATCTATATGATCATACCTCATGCAAGCTCCTCCTAGAAACCTTCCATGCTATTATATCATTCTCAAAGTTCTCGCTTATCACTTGACTAGGGAAATATTCTTCATGCCATGGCTTCAGGTGCCTTTTGTTCTTCTTCAAAGGTCATCATTATCGGGGCTGGGTTTTCTGGTCTGGCTATGGCATACCAACTTAAACGAGAGTTAAAGTGCGATGACTTTGTTATATATGAACGAGAGGCTGGATTTGGTGGGACTTGGCTAGCAAACAAATGTACTATCGAATATGCCCTCTATTTTTATTAGCCGAAAACGCGGTCGCTGACATGAGCTTCTCAGACCCAGGGTGTGGAGTTGATATCCCTGCTGCGTTCTACAGCGTCTCCTTTGCGCCCAACCCAGATTTCTCGACTTTTTTCCCGAAGCGTGATGAGGTTCTACAATATATCAACAATGTAGTCTCAAAGTACGACCTGTCTCGTCACATGGTGGGAAACACAGAATGGATAGGAGCATCCTGGCAGGACGTCGATAAGACCTGGTTGGTTAAGCTGAGGAGTACTACTTCTGGCCAGGAGTATACACAACGCTGCAACATATTAGTGTCAGCGGTTGGAGCTCTGACGAACCCTAATTCGCTGAACCTTCCCGGCGTTGACCGCTTCCAGGGAGACATTATTCACACTGCCAGGTGGGATCAAAGCGTGTCGCTGCGGGACAAGAATATAATCGTGCTTGGAAATGGAGGTAAGCTGCCTTTTGCATTATGAGAAGAAACCACTAGTTGACACCTTTCAGCCTCAGCAACCCAGCTAGTACCAGCTGTGGCAAAAGATGCTCGGTCGATCACTCAATTTATGAGGGTTAGTTCCCTACTTTCCTGCTCTTGTGGGGTGACTTCCTAATGTGGGATGGTCATATATAGTCAAAACAATACTTTCTCCCAGGAGGAAGTAACGCCGCCATAAGCCCTTTTTGGCAATTTATCTTCCGCTACGTACCCGGCGTACTTCTTGCTGTCAGATTCCTTATCTTTCTATACCTCGAAACGTCAACACCCCAGTTCAACCTGACCAAGACCGGGGCGAAGATGCGAAGGGAAACAGCTGAAATAAGCGAGCGTTACGTGAAAGAAAATGCGCCAGGTGAGATACGCTCTGAATATCGTCTGAGCTACTCTCACCTCAAGTTGCAGAGAAGTACTGGCCACTCCTACTGGCTGACTACCAAGTCGGATGCAAGGTACATATTCTGAGTAACTTCTACAAAGCATATAGGCTGATCAATTCCCGATACAGCGAAGGGTATTCGACCATGATGGTTACGTCTCAACATTAAACCGGGATAATGTTCGCCTTACCGACGACGAGGTTGTCGCTCTTAGCGAACGATCCGTATCCACCAAATCAGGAGCAAAATACCCAGCAGATGTAATTGTTTTAGCCAACGGATTCTCCCTGACCCAATATGATACTGAGCTGTGCGGTCGTGGTGGACGCAGTCGACAAGAATACTGGAAAGAAGCCGGTCATATGACGGCTTACGACAGTATCGGCATGTCTGAGTTTCCTAACTTCTTCTATATCCTGGGGCCCAATTCCGGTCGCGGGCATACATCTGCGGTATTCTCTATCGAGAAGTAAGTAGACATTCTGAGGCCATAGCCTATCAAACATTCCATGGAGGTGAAAACTTGCTAAGCGTGAAATAGCTACACCGACCTAATAATAAGGATCATCAGACCGATAATAGCCGGATCAGCTGTCTCCGTGGAACCCGATATGTCAAGCGAAAATGCATACAACGAGCGGTTGCAGGCCGCGCTGAAAAAGACAGTGTTTAACAACACATGCCGCAGTGTAGGAAACTCCCACACCCATACTGCAGAATCAGCCCCTTAATGTCGTTGATGATGCTGCTCTCCCAGTTTGTTCAAGAGCACTTGCTGATCATAACCTACCTGTGTAGTGGTTCATCGACCCAAAAACCGGATACAACTGGTCGATATACCCCTGGAGCTCCTTCTACATGTGGTGGACTACGCATATTGCAGGCCTAGACGGGTGGGTCTACGAGGTAAGTTTGTCGATCTTATCATGGTAAAGTATATGGGTATCTAACACAATGCATGCATAGTATGCCCAGACGAGAAAGACGTCCCAGAGCTCGGGCTTTGGTCTGTATCTGCACACTGTACTACCCACTTTTGCTGTTTGCCTGTTTTTGGGAGGATATGCCTATCTTAGAGATTCATGTGGTTTGTTCGTGAGATGATATGATATTCGGTTCATATAGACTTTCGGAATGTACTATTGGGCTTTGTTTTTATATACAAGGTTAGACTTTCTCACAGGCGATTTATGTTTGATTTTTAGACGGGAATTATCCAGCACCCATGAGTGTTTGTTAAATAAAGGCTAGTTCGTGAAAACGATACTGGAAGCGCAGTACCGCGATGTATAAGCCATGTGTTGCTGCCTTGGACGGCTTATGCAAGGTTCGGGTCAGGTGGCCATGTAGCTGTACATGATTGGCGCCGTGTCCTACTACTTTTGTCGGTTTGCGTCTTACCTAGCAGAACCCCAAAAACAAAATAGGGAAGGAAGCCTTTTGATGTACCCTCCTTAGGACAACTCAGCAATGATTAAATTTCTGCATGTGTGTGAAGAACGCATGGTAAATACTGATTAGCCAGGCTGGAAGAACTGAGAAGCAGCATAAAGGGTCGTCTAATACAACACAGAGGCTACTCTTCAACAAGATATTACCTCCGAACGAATAGTTTTACGGACTATCTGCCGTTTTCCATCCGCTGTGGAGCCCCGGGATCCCATTGCCTGTACTCAATCAGACATCACTGCCAATATCATGCTTAAACACATCCCCATGCAGATGATACGCCTCTTCCTTCTTTCAAGGAAACGGACTTTCAGTCGAAAACAAAGTCCCAATCGACTCAAGCAATTGACTACAACTCTTTGCGATAGAACACGTATACCGCAGGGATCCATAGGAGATTCAGTCCCGCAAGCGAAAGGATTTCCGTGGGGAGGAGGGGAGGACTATTGCGCCCCAGGTAGATGCGTGGCTTAATTAATTATTAATTATGCAGATGGTTGACTTAGACTTATTTCTGACATGGTTCACCTTATATTGACGAGTGTGATCAGGTTTGGCGAGTCGGGGGAGTATCTTCCTTCTGGGAGGAAAACAGTCAATCGTGCATATCGGAAGGTATTTGAGAACAGAGAACAAGTGGTCGGATGACATGTACATGCTTGGTATTGAGACTATGTGGATGTTGTTGATAATCAACTGTGAACTTTTTGATCCCAAAGACTCTGCACAGTGATGTTACGAGCCCATGCCCCATTGGTCGTGTCTTCGAGAACGTTGAATTCAATCTCTTTCTTCTCCCCTGGTACCAAAACGAACGCGTTCTCCTCAAAGTATCCTACCACACCCTCCGGGTAGTCGAGCCACGTGTATAGTGAGACACCGGATGTAGCTTCCACCGTGACAGTTGTCTTGTTCGAATTGTATCCCAGCTTCAGTCCAGGGTCAACAATCTTCAAATCCTTCGGCCAGGAAAGCGTAGCGTGATTCTCATGAGTGAAGTTGGTGGCCTGGTCTGAGTTCGGAAGACGTCCATGAGCCGAGAGCGAGAGCAGAAGAACGGCATCCTTGGTATCCGGCAAGCCCAAAGAAGACACATTTGTGCCATAGACACGAGTGGTATTCAGTCCTCCTACGGTAAATGGAACCGATCTAGGCGTGCCTGCATTACCCTCAATAGGGCGACCTGACAGGTCCAACCAGGTCAAGTCCACAGTACCTGCTGCAGGGCTCCACAGGTCGGAAGTAACATAGACATCCAGTGATCCTGTAGTATAGTTCCAGAAAGGCGAGACAATAACAGGCTGATAGATATCTCTCATAACGTGGTGTAGAACCTTCCATCTGCCCCCGTACTCAATGCCTGCCCATGACGGCGCTTGCCAGATGTCTTCGAGCTGCCAATACAGGGAGCCAAGCTGGCGCTCAGGCAAGCCACTTCCCCGACGGTAGAACTGGATCTGACTCTTGTACATATCTGCCTGGAAGAGCTGGGTGGCGTGGCACCAGGCGCTGAAGTTGGAGATGTGGTCGGATTTACTCGGGATCGGGTAGTAGCTTACCACGCCCATGGTCATTTCGCCCATGCCAGTGGCCGAATTCGCGTAGTTGTCTGTCATGAGGCCGCCCGCGGGGTCGTGGTGGTTGCGGAGCATTACTACACTGCTGTTGAAGTAAAGATCCTCAGTGTCAATAGCTTGCTGCCATGTCTGGAGGCTGGGCATGCTGTGGAAGCCGAATTCGTTCGCAAAACGGCCTACCGGATAGGAACCATAGTCAAAAGCCACACTAGTGTCGTAGTCATAGTGGTCGGTGTCGCCGTAGTATGAGCCGGAGGTAGTGTTGTCGTAACGTTCAGCCATAGGGACAGGAGCAGAAAGATCAATGTAGAGGTACCCTTCAGTTGTGCTGCTGGGGGAGTACGAGATGGAGCGAGTGTTCTCATAGACCAGAGGTAAGAAGAGACTGATATACATCTTTTCGTACTCTCCCACATAGTAGGAATATGAAGATGGGGCTGCGTCTTTCACACGTGGGAGCATCAAAGATTCGATTTCATTTCCGCCAGCCCATAGAGCTAGGGAGGGATGGTGATTCACTCGTCGAACATTGTATACTATCTCAGCAGCAACGTTCTCGAGAAAGGCGTCGTTGGAGGGATATAAGGCGTCACTAAACTCGAATTCACTCCACAAGAGGATGCCCTTTTCATCGGCCAGGTCATAGATGTAGTCATGAAGATATGCGCCGGAGGACCACACACGGAGCATATTCTGGTTTCCTATCACGACGGCATCAAATAGTCGTGACATCTTCTCCTCTGTGACACGAGTCCAGAAACTGTCTGGTGGGATGAGGTTCGATCCCTTTGCATAAAACTCGTGACCGTTAACTTCGAAGTGCCAGTTTGCTCCAGGAGCAATCCCTTGTGCGCGCTGTGTCTCGGTAATATTGCGCTGGTTGAGAAAAATGGTGCGGAAGCCCGTCCGTTTGGTTACATTGGCCAGAGTCTGGTTTCCGCTACTATTGACAGTAATGGACACGTTGTAGAGGTTCTGATCGCCGAGACCTTGCGGCCACCACAACTTTGGAGTGAGCCCATCGAGAACGGTAACACCGGTTATGGAGTTGCCAGCCACAGTGACATTGTTCAAAGTACGTGAAGTAAGGATTGTGCCAGAGCGAGCGTCGCGCACTTCAATCGACATAGTCGGTCTTGCAGGAAGTGAGCCCAGAATGTCGATGCTAGCGTTGACAACCCAAGGTTGGCTTTGGTCTGGCGGGAGGTAGTTAATTTGGCCCTTTCTGTATATATCTAAGTCTGTGTTCAGTACATAGGCGCTTTGCTTCTTGTCTAGCTGGACGATATATGCGGGTTTCCATGGGCCTGCGGGCGCAAATGCTGGGCCCCAATCCCATCCAAAGTCGGACTGCTCTTTGCGCATAAACCACCGGTTTGGATATTCATAAGTGAGCTGGACATCATCAGGCCATTCTACAAGCAATTAGCATGGCCTGGCCTTGCTAGTCTCCCACTTTGAACTTACTTTGCGAATTAGGATCTTGGGCGATAGCATCGACAATGTTCGGCGCGCTCCCAAAGTTGATGCTCAGAGCAGGATCTCCTTTGCAGGACCCTAAAACTGTGGAAACATCAAACGCATACTGGCGAAATTGATTGTCCGTGGACGCAATCTGCTGTCCACAAAACGAGATAGTTGCAAAAGTGTCGAGTCCGTCAAATACCAGCCAAGTTGAGTCGTAATCATTCAGGCTATTGAGTTTTAGTACTGACGCAGTTATTGCACAGAACCAATGGCTACTCACAGGCCTTTGATAGGTTGACTGGTATAAGTCCAGTTGGCGGCGGCGATCCAGCGAAGGTTGAAATCGTTTAATCCATGGTATCTGTAATAATATTGAGTGTATCATTCGGGTACACGGCAGATCAAAATACTTACGGATCATCTATTGGGTAGTCAGCAATTGTATAATAGAGGGATTTGACTTCCAACAGTACTTACCAATTACTCCGGCCCTTAGTAGATTCAAGTGAACCTGCGATGGGAATTCAGCAGGAACTGTTCGGTTCAAGGCTCGACTACTGAGACTCCATTGCACACGGCTCAAATCATGAACATGCTGACCCAGCGCTACAGGTAGGGTTGGCGCTATTAGGGCCGCTGCTAATCCGATGCCTTGGCGCATGGCGTGTAGCTGGAAGAATGCGACTTGCTCTGGAAAAGCAAGGCCTAAATTCCTACTCAGCAAGGGATCATTGAAGCATATAAATGCGACAGCAGGAGCTGAACGCGAGTTCTGTCCAACGTGCGCAATCTTTGCAGTGACACACCGAAGCAAATACTTAGTCGGTGGAGCAGGAGTGTGGGACGCATAGACGGGGATAAGTCCGTGATGAAAGAGGAAAGAAGACGATCTTATGGCACCACGGCAACCGGGATCAGGCAACAGGAGCAGAGCAAATTATGTCTCACGCTATGCGGGGAAAGAGGGAATTAATCGGCTAATTTCAAGGCAAGATTAATTAAGCTAAAGGCCCGAGGATGGCGAGTGGTCGACGGCAGTACTGATCTGCAGCAAAGGAGGGGTAGACAAATACTGGCTAGACTGGAGTGGTATAGATTGGTTACATCTTGGCTCAAGCTAGGGTTCTGGCTCAGGAACAAATGCGATGCCGCGGACAGGCGTGGAAAGGAACGACGAGAAAAGCAGTTTTCTAGCGAGTGCTGCATCAGTGACACTCCCTTTTATTCTGTATATCTATCATTTTTATTCTTCAAAACCTCAGTGTGATGGGTCTTTCGCGTCTTCGATTAACCAGATCTTAGATTGTCGGCTCAAGGGGCCGATGGCACAACCCGCAGGGTTTGTCCGGGTCGGACTATCTCCGCATCGGCCTTTGCTCAGGTCTCCACTCGGGCAACCCTGAATGCCTCCCAACAGCGGGCTGGCGTGTTTAGCGTAATAGTCAAGGCCGGGCCAACGTTCTTCTTGATTAAGACAACGAGGACGCGGAATAAGCGCTAAGCCTCTTGCTGCTGCAATATAAATTAATAAATCCTATCTCTCGTCTCCCTGGGGCAACTTAGTGTAGCTCTGCTGGGCGACTAATCATTTAGTTTCGGCGTGATTTGGCTTTCCGGTATGCTGTGATTACACTTACAGGGATGAGGCCATACCATGAAGGAATCGGCCAGATGCGAATGATGGGCGAGCCCTACCTTTGCAAGTGAAAATTGAAGATGTCTCTCCAACCTCCTGCACTGTCCGCTATTTTTCTGCAGTCTTCAGGACCAACCCTTCTCGATCAAATATCCCAACAATTCCATTCCACCTTCGCAACCTCCACCTCCTCCTTCTTCTTCTTAAAGTCCTGGGGCCTTGTGGGAAGCTAGCTCATGACGATCATCCCTTAATGTTGTAAATTGCTGTCATACTCAAAAATTCCATGCAGGCAGTCATGGCCCTCGATACCCCCGACGTTTTTCACCTTGGTACCCAGCAGTTCCTGCACCACAAATTAAGCGAAGATGATTAATAAAACAGTGGCAACAGATAACTATATGACGGATGTCCCGCGATGTTCAGTTCCTTGTCAACCCTGATGAATGATGAAGGATGACAGTTTCAGGAACCATATGGTAACCAATCCTATGATCCAAACCAGGGCCCTAGCAACAGCTGCAAAGCGAACATTGACATAGTTTGTCGAGAGTCCGAAAGCATGGTGCAACAATTCATATTGAACGCCGGACAACCCGCATAATGTACCTCTCAAGACAGACGATTGAGCTTAGGATTGATACTACAGTAATCTTTCACGATTGCTCAATGCCACTCAGTGAAAGTGAGTACCTAGCATTGCAAATATTCTCAAACTGCTCTGGGTTACCTGTTTCCCCATGGTAGAGCTGATTCCGCTACGTTGGTTATTTTGGCAACATTCGAATTAATCCCTATGACAATCTATGCTGTCATCAACACCACCAAGATTCTTCCTTACTCACCGAAACCGCTGAAATGGAGGGACCGAGACTCAAAATCATGATAAATGCGGTTGAACAGATAATTGATCGTCCTTCACAAATGAGGATTTGAGCACACCCGCAGCAGCCAAGACGGCTGTGTTGGGAGCATTGTATGGAGAGAACAAGCCTGTTTCAGGAAAGTTGGTTGAAAAAACACCCAGAAAAAACAGAGCCGGTTGTTCGGTTTCAGTGACTACCTGCAAAGAAATGTTGTAAATAGGATTCTAATATCTTCAACATTTACATCGAGAGAGACTTTCGCAATAGCTCAAAGAACGCAAAGTTGTTCTAATGGGAGACGGGGCAAATCATATGCTTGGGGCATCAGCTAGTGTCCAGAGAGCTGATTTAAGAACACATCTTACATCTTAGTGAAAGGCACCCCGGCGAAACGCCAATGCGTAATCCCAGAGAAAGAAATATGTCGCAAGTAGTAGGACGAGTTGGAATTAGCGAGGAGCTTGTTTAATATTGGTACTACTTGTGGAGATCAATATCGTCTAAATAAATTATGTTAGGGCATGTCCTCGAGATTTCGGGAGCAATTTCATACTGGTGCTTTTTGCTCCCGTTCATCACTCTCGACCTAGATTTGAGCCTATTCCGTACCAGTAGACAGTTATGCACCATAGAAAAGTAAAATAGCGCTCCCCCGATTGTATGAAATATTATCATTATCTTGATCCGATCGGTTTGGCTAGCGACGATACTAGCCATAGAAGTGCGGCACCGATTGACGCATGAGTACCGTCCTGGGCATCGAGTAATGCATAATACGTAATTAGCAGGAAGATATGCATTAAGAATCACGAAAGGCACCATCGTAAGAAAGGCCAATAACACATCAAGGTAGATGGGCCGTGAACATGAGATAAGCCAAACAGATGTCACAACTGACAAGCCAGTTGCCTGCGAGATCGCATATTATGCCACTTATTACTTGCCACCTGTAAGTTCCTGCAAATTTAGTCTATGTGGCCTATCGAATGAGTTTAACGGGGTGTAACAATGGCGCACATTGTCTTCAGCGTCTCTCTCTGCGGCCTGTAGGCATACGTGTTCCTGTTATCGGTCGGGGTCAGGGGTAAAGTCTACCTGATGAACTTCGCGAACCAGCACGTATAAAGCATGAAAGAGCAGCACTGGAATAATTTCGGGAAATTAGGCTGGGTTTAGAAATAAATGCTTCGCGTGAGGTTCGAACATCCGTGTGGCGCACCCTCAAACCACAGCTCAAAAGGGTCGGGTCTTGATGTGCCAGGCCGGTACCTCTGCGCTCGGCCTCGAGATTTTATCGACATGTTACGCTGTGTTCCTGCCATACACACTGCTAGCTTGTTGCACAACCTTTCTCACAGAAGTAATCTCTTCTCATAGGCTTATTTGGCATGGATTTCGGAGAAAGTACTGCATACCGTCAGACTCAGATTATTGGCCCTATACCCTATACATTCCAAAACCATGAGCCTGAAGACAAGGTAGCTTACCTCGTAGTCTATAATCTGTACCCCAGCGCATGATGTATAAGAATTCGAATCCACGACGATCTGAAGTAATGCTGCAGTGAAAGAGCATGACAGTATGGATTGACTAGCGATCGGGGAATCATGTAACTTACTCGATACATCGGAAAAGAGTCCTTCGGTTTCTGTGTCGGGGCACTTGCATATGACAGCTGTACGCCAGTTGTCCACCCTCACGTGGCCCCTGCCGCTAATCCAGCCCAACGAAGCCGAAGATATCAGCTTATTCTTAAATTCACTTTTTCCACAATACCCTCGAATCCATCTGACTATCGGCCGGAACATCGTATCCTCACGAGCTTAGCTGTATAGTCAGATTCGAATTGTCTCTCATCATTCGTTGATTGCAGTTAATTCATATTGATTTCCATATGCCCGTTGGAACGCCTTCTGTCAGCTAGTCAACAGATCGGGTACCATTATGCGCCTGATCAATGTTGATACATTCAATTTGGACGAAATCTATGGATCAGTGCCCCGCTATGCTATACTCTCACATACATGGGGAGCCGATCACGAGGAACTGTCACTTCGCGACATCACCGAGAAAAGTATCAAAAGACAGAGTTTACCATTCAAAGTCGCGAAATGCTGCGAACAGGCAAAAAAAGACGGCATTCAGTATGCATGGGTTGACACCTGCTGCATTGACAAGACCAACTCAGTCGAACTCGGCGAGGCAATTAACTCCATGTTCCGATGGTATCATGAAGCTGCCGTTTGCTATGCCTACCTAGCCGACGTCACCATTGAGGATAATAACCGTTTCCCATTGACTCAGTTCAGTTCATGCCGCTGGTTCCAACGAGGCTGGACTCTACAGGAGCTTCTGGCTCCTGATAATCTTCGCTTTTTCGATTCAGGGTGGCGCTACCTCGGAACAAAGGCAATGAGATCGGGCATTATTGACCGCGTATTCAGAATACCGCGTCGGTTCTTGCAAGGAACCCCGTTAAGTGAGGCAAGCATCGCTCAACGTATGTCCTGGGCCTCCAACAGAGTCACAAAACGGGATGAAGACATTGCCTATTGCCTTCTTGGAATCTTCGATGTGACTATGCCGATGATCTATGGTGAAGGGACTGATCGAGCGTTCACTCGTCTCCAGCAAGAGATCATGAAAAGCTCAAGGGATGAGTCAATTCTGGCGTGGGGTCTTTCCAGCCTGGAGCATCATCTGTATAATTCAAATGTTGATAGGACCTTGTCAGCTGGTGTACTTGCCGCGTCCCCCGCTGACTTCCGAGGTTGTGAGAATATTGTTCCGCGTATGAACGGGACCAGGTCTCCATGCACGTTCCAGATTGAAGGGGGCTTGGTTCGAGTCAATCTATCTCTACACCAAGACAGAAATGGGCTTTTCGGCTTGCTCAACTGTGGGCTGTCAAGTCCGAACACTTTGGTAGCAATCCCGCTTTTGAAAAGCCAGTCGAGTGAATACTACCTTAGGCCACAAGATCATCCTGCAGTGATTTACGACTCAATTGCGACTAAGACATCAGCTCAGCCGGTCTATATTCTGATTGAACGGCATATGAAAACACCGCCGACAGCTAGATATAACAATGATTTCTTTGTCGAGGACCCTATCGAAGCAGGGTTAGAACTTATTGAAGTTGAACCTCCAGATCGCTGGTTGCAAGATCGGTCTATTATTACCACATCGAGTGACCCTGCTGATCATGCTGTCCAAAAGCTCTGGACCCGGTTCCGCTCCGGAGGTGAAGACTCCAACGACTTCCTGGTGTTGCTCGAGTATGATACGCAGCCCCCTCAAGCGAAGGCTCGATGTCACGTGATGATATCTTCCAGAGCCACGTCCCTCCAAGATCTGGCCCAGAGATCCGGCTCTATAAGAAAAGAAGCATTCGGTAAACAAAGTGCCAGTGATGGCAAGCTCAATATCCAGGCAAGCGTGGAACGAGACGACATGCAAAAGATATTTGTGGTGATATTAGCCGTCACGGCGAGTCCGCCCAGTGTCACCATTGATGCCACATTCGAGTTGGAAGTACTGACATTCAAGCTTGAAGTGGAGGGCATCATGAAAGCGGAAGAAGATTTGCGCCACGAATCAGACAACCTCAATCAGCATGAATGGGATATAAACTCCTCCTTAAAATATGCCAAGGCAGGCTTGAATGACGTAGAAGGGGAAATGGAAAGGTTCAATGCGCTGAAATCCCGGCTACTCAACACGATCAGCAAAGCGACACAGGATACAGCAAATGCCAATACCCGGGCGGAGGAACTTAGGCAACGGAGAGCCATGTTGTCGGAACGCAGACGGTCACTTGGAATGAAATTGGATGATAGGCATCAAATAGTGCTGGAGACTGGATATGGTTTACCCCTGTATCAGACTGGAGGCAGGGCGGCGGAAGCTGAGGCCGAATTTGATGGATTGGTGAAAACTAATATTGATTTGGTCAAACACATCGATGATATGTTAAGGTGTGATGCATTTCTTCGACGATTTTTCTCCGATAAAAAGAAAAAGGGTTTCCTGATATACTTATGGAAGAAGGCCGAGCATATGTATTCCGGCCACGGGTTGAAGGCCCACTACGAAAAGCCTATGGCCTTGACAGTCAAGACGTCCATATACCAACAAGTGTTCTACTGCGGTAAGTTTTGCCAAATTCGATCGCTTATCTAGCTTGCTCAACTTTGGAGGTCATTTATAGATGATAGCTCAGGGATGAGACGCGAAGATCGTTGGGATGTCCAGAAAGAACTCGTCAAGAAGTTGGCCGGTGTCACCACTCAACTGCTCCCTGCGGGCGAAGGCGTTGGGCTAAGTTTTGTTAATAGTGAGGTTCATATATTCCCTAACCTCGCAGTTGACCAGGTGAAGAAGATCTTGGATTCCGCGCCATTGAGCCCCAGTGGCAACACTGCAATTGGCACAAACCTAAGATCTAGAATTCTGGAGCCGCTAGTCTACAGAAAAGTCAGTTCGCAGAGACTCGATAGGCCGCTGCTCATAATTATAACTATTGGTGGTTATCCGGAGTCTAGAGCTGAATCTGAATTTGTGAACGCTATCATCGAATGCGGCAGGAAGCTAGAACTCGCTGGATACCCCCGCCGCAGTACGTAACGTTCTGCAAACCCTCTCTTTCCCACCTAGCTAATTGATCAATTTGCAGCTGTGATGTTTATGATCTATCAAGTCGGAACAAGCAAAAAGGCTTCGAAATTTGTACGACGCCTTAAGGATGATCCGGATCTCTTTCCTATGATATCCGTATTCTCGGAGTGGGAAGGTAGGTCAAGAGCTCATCCCCGCAGGCCAAATAATATGCCATCTAATGTTCTGAAGGTGGCGTCACAATGAAACATCTCAAAGGCAGTCATCTCCAAAGACCTATTTTTGAAGTGAGTCTGGTCTTTCATTGAATATCTCTGGCTCCTCTGCCCGCTTGTCGTCTACTTACAAATTATAATTTCTTTCAGAGAATGATGTACCCATCTGATTTCCTCCAACTCTCTGGGGTCAAGTCACCTCAGGCGGCTACAAATATTTGAGACTGGTGTTGTTTATCTTTTCCGTCACCTGCTGTCCATCATAGAAGCTACGATCAACGTAGGTGGTTGAATTATATGTGTCAACGTAGTTGACTACTTGATGCTATCATATATTCTTCGTTATGTTTGTAAGATATAGCAGATTTCACTAATTGAGCTGAGTCATGGTTACCAAGAGACTTAACAAGGGCAACAACATTACGGGAGAAACTTCAGATCCTCCTAGAAGACTAAGCTTACCTGAGTTGATAATGTCAGGCGGTAAGTCCTCATACGCATCTGTGGCAGTGAGATGGAAGACTGGCCGATAGAGAAGATGATTGGCAGACGCCAAGCATGTGAACGTCCTGGCTGCATGACTGGCCGCCTCATCCCTGAGCCCTTGGCATCATTCATCTCTGCCATTATCAACAACAACCAGAAATGTTTTGGCTTCAGTCACGTACTTCTCTAGTATCCAGTATACGTGCAAACCTTTTCATATCCTCACGTATTCCACCTTTGCGCTATAGAGCCCTACCTAGTTCGTCTCATCCTGTCGAATGCAGACCAGCATCCACGATCGCGTCTACAAACCAAACCATACAACGCGTATTTCCTACATCAGGATTCGAGGCCATTGATCCAACAGAAGAGGTTGGGGAAGAGACTCTCCCAACTTACGATGCCCAAAAGTACTACCCCGTTCGTCTCGGGGAAATTCTGAACGGCCGATATCAAGTGGTTGCCAAATTGGGCTATGGTGTCACATCTACAGTCTGGCTCGGTCGCGATCTAAGGTACAATTCTTTCCAGTCTAGTCGATAGTTCTTACTTCGGGACCCTTTGCTGAAAGTATGGACTCAGTGATTCCAAGCATGTTGCCTTGAAGATTTATGTTTCTGGTACTATGAAGAGTAGCAACGAACTAGCCGTATACGAACGCATAAACGCAGTTGGAACAGACCACGCCGGAAAGAATCTCATTCGTCACCTATGGGATCACTTCTTCCTAGAAGGTCCCCATGGCCGTCACAAGTGTCTCGTGCATCAACCGCTCGGGCTTAGTGTAGACCAATTCTTGTACTTCTTTCCGGGGAGGGTGATGAACCTCGACGCTTTGAAGCCTTGTCTACGGCAGGTATTGGGTATAGTTGATTTTCTGCACACTGAAGCTAGGGTCATACACACCGGTAAAGTGCTACATATTCAATTATACATTCCTTCCATTACTGACCATTATGCAGATCTACAACTGAAGAATCTCCTACTTCCCGGAGATCCTAAGAACTTCTCGGGTCTCGAAGACGCAGAGATTGAGGCCCCTTCGGCTAGGAAAATACTTGGCCATGAGCGCACGATCTACACCAGCCAAATTGTTGTCCCTGGGAATGGATTGCCATTGCTCAGTGACTTTGGAGAAGCTCGGTTCAGCGATGAAGGGCATGACGAGGATATCATGCCAAATCTTTACAGGGCTCCCGAGGTGGTGCTAAAGATGAACTGGGATAGCAAGGTGGATGTGTGGAGCATTGCCCTGATGGTGGGAGATTATGCTTATTGAGTTCACCCTTCATTCAGCGTATACTTACTTTCATGCAGGCCTGGGATATAGTCTGCTCTACCACGCTATTCGATGGCAGAAACAGTGACGGTGTTTTCGATGATCGAGTTCATCTTGCCGAGATGATTGCAATCATGGGGCCACCTCCCAACGACTTCATCAAACGAAGCAAAGTAGGCTCGGTTTTCTGGGATAAGGATGGTATGTTGATACTAAGTGGACCTGCTATATGGCTTGAAGCTCAACTAATATATAAATTACTAGGCAAATGGAAGGACCTTGCGCCGGTGCCGAACATGACACTCGAGGACCGGGCGGCTGATATCCAAGGACCTGACAAGGAAGCATTCTTGAAACTTATGCGAAGAGCGTTAACATGGGACCCTAAGGACAGACCAGCTGCCGGAGAACTGATTTTTGATGAGTGGCTTATGAAGGGATTGCAGCTTCCGGCTCATCTGTCGAAGCACACCTAGTTGTGATGCGATTTTTTTCTGTTAGATTCATTGTAAAGTGTCGAATTTGGCGGATTATACCTCTTGTAGCTCACAAGAGGAACTCTTCCTATTTGTATACTTGAAGGCGTAGTTGGGCATTTCGATAGTCTAGTACGTAGGTGCTCGATAAGTGAAAAGTGGATCCGGCGGAAGAGTTGGGGGAAAAAAGACCGGGCGGGTGCCTTAGGATCCGGAATCCAGAACGGCTTCCGCATTTGGGATTCTCGTTCTTCTTTCCGCCGACCAACCGTTCATCCAACCTCACCTCAGTCCAGCCATCATGTCGTCCCGCACCGTCTGGAGGAGCCTCCAATTGCAAGCTCGGAGACGATTTATTGTCCCGGAGACACCATACCGCTGTTTCTCCTGCACACGACGTGCCCAGGATCCGCCCAAGTTCAACCAGGATGATCGCATGACCCATTTCGGCTTCCAAAATGTTCCTGAAGCGCAGAAGGAGTCTTTGGGTAGGTTTATCTGGGAACATTTGCATCTATAGGATTGGATAAAAAAGGGTTTACTAATTTTCGGGCCAATGTTTAGTGGGAGCCGTCTTCAGCTCCGTTGCTTCGTCCTACGATGTGATGAACGACATGATGTCGCTGGGCATCCACCGCCTGTGGAAAGATCACTTTGTCCGCTCTCTCAACCCCGGATCCGCACTTCCCTCTCGCGAACACGATACGGCCGGCCGTGGTTGGAACATTCTCGATATTGCCGGCGGGACGGGCGATATCGCGTTTCGCATGCTGGACCACGCGACGAACATCAACAATGACCACGAGACCCGCGTGACGATCGCCGATATCAATGCGGACATGCTGGCTGAGGGCCAGAAGCGCAGTGTACAGACTCCTTATTACAACACAAACCGACTGTCATTCATGCAGGGCAATGCGCAGTCCATGCCTTCCATTCCGGATAACTCGGTGGACCTCTACACTGTTGTTTTCGGTATCCGCAACTTCACGGATAAGCAGGCAGCCCTGAACGAAGCGTTCCGTGTGCTGAAGCCCGGTGGTGTGTTCGCCTGCATGGAATTCAGCAAGGTCGACAATGCTTTGTTCAATGCGGTCTACAAGCAGTGGAGTTTCAGCGCCATTCCCATGATTGGTCAGTTGGTGGCCGGTGATCGCGACAGCTACCAGTACTTGGTGGAGAGTATTGAGCAATTCCCTAGCCAGGAGGAGTTCCGCGGCATGATCCAGAAGGCTGGCTTCATGATCCCGGGACGTGGCTTCGAGAATCTGACGGGTGGAATTGCCGCTATTCACAAGGGTATCAAGCCGCTTAACCGGGCTTAAGAGGGGCAACTAAAAGGGATGGATGGGTTGTTTCAGACAGTGTACAATAGCATATCTTTTCGCCACTGTAATAATATTGGTAGTCAATTATTGACATGGAAGACAACTGAGCGTGTCCGGAACGGTAGCGGGGAATGGATCTGCAAGACATCAGCAGCGTTGCGGATGGTGTGATGGCGGATTCCGAATGGCCGGGCGGAGACCGACTAAGTAGGGATTAGAACTTAGAAGAGCGTAGAAGGATGCATGCATCGGGATCTAGAAGGTGGTGCAAAGGGAAGAACAGATTTCATTTCTAATCGTTCGGGGAGGTGGTCAGCTCTAGCAAGCGGATTGGAGAAGGACATCCGATCCGAGGCAACTTTTCTTTATCTCTAGTAGTCTAGATAATCAATTCTATCACCAAAATCAGCCACCCGGACTTTCCCTTCCCTCCTCTTCTTTCCCCCCTCCACTTTTTTTGTTCTGTTTCGCCCCCCCACCATCGGATTTCTCCTCCTTTCCCCTCCTCATCTGCGTCTCCAGGTTCGCGTCCGGGATCTTTCTTCCCAGGCTTACCTCCTGGGAGAAAGGCGCCGTCTCACTCTCTTTCCCTCTCTTTCTCTTCCCCCCCACAGAATGGTTTCATGACCATGGGGCACCTGAAGCAGCCATTCGCGATCCCGCTGTCGCCCGCCATGCCCCTCCCGGAGTCCAACCCCTCCATCCACGATGATTTCCTCCTTCCGATGACTCCTCCAGATCCCTCCGAAGTCCCGCTAATGGGAACCAAGGACACTGCGCCCGTGGCTTCAGCCCTGCAGGTTATCGCGGCGGAGCGCGCCGCTCTGGCGCATCTGGAGCACATCTACCAAACCGATCCGTTGGCTCAAGATAACCTCGCGCGCGCGGTGGCTCAGATCGTGCGCACTATCAAGCATGGCGGAAAATTGGTCTGCTGCGGTGTCGGCAAGAGTGGCAAGATTGCTCAGAAGCTGGAAGCCACCATGAACAGCATGGGGATCTACAGTGCCTTTTTGCATCCCACGGAAGCCTTGCACGGCGACCTGGGCATGATACGACCGGTAAGGATGTCCTGGCCTATATGTGAGGATGAACCACACACTGACTGGAACTGAATGTACCAGCATGATACACTATTGTTAATATCTTTCTCGGGCCGCACACCGGAGCTTCTGCTCATGCTCCCTCACATTCCTTCAACCGTCACGGTTATCGCCATTACTTCTCATATGGTCTCGTCAACTTGCCCTCTGCTTTCTTTCCACCCCTCGAACATGGGGATTCTTTTACCAGCACCGATCCACGAGGATGAAGAGACCTCGATCGGCGTGTGTGCCCCGACCTCGTCCACCACGGTAGCCTTATCGCTGGGAGATGCATTGGCTATCGCTACGGCTCGGCGGCTACATACAGCTCCTGGCAGAGGCCCGGCGGAGATTTTCAAGGGCTTCCATCCTGGCGGGGCTATCGGCGCTGCGTCCATGGCTTTGACGCCTATGAGCATGTCATCCGCATCAAGTTCTGCCGCCCCATCAGACTATATTCCAGCCCAACAGACCACGAACTCATTCCCGCAGTCAGACGGCAAACCCAACCAGCGGCCACTCGTCCGTGACATGCTCGTGTCACTCGATCAGATTCCCAGGGTGTCTGCCTCGGGTAAAGTCCGTCTTCTGGACATTCTCCTCACTGCTATCCAGCATCCCAACGCCAAGTCATGGGTTCATCTCTCACCGTCCGAAATTGTGCCCCCACGGCATCTCCGCTTCGTCTCCCAGAGCAACTATGTAGATATGCACGTTTCTGCCTTCACTGAACTGGGTCTCCCTTTCGGCGTCTCCCGCAAGGACTGGTTCCGCCTTACGAGCTCGAGCACCATCGATGACGCGCGCCGGCTGGTCTCCGAGGCCGGTGCATCCTCAGGCATCCCCGTGACCGTGGTAGCCGTCATGGACAACACCAACCCCGACCACTGTCTCGGGGTCATAGAAGCTGAGGATCTATGGAATGATTGTGATGACTAAAATATATTCATATCCCCTCCCCACTCTGAACCTCCTGATGATGTATATGAACTCATGCCTGATTTTTATGTGTCCTTTTGCCTTTTTGTCTTATAAATATTCCGTTTCAACCACAATAGATAGCTTTGGGGACATGTATCCCATACCTGGAATGGGTTTGTCTGCTGGTGGGGTATGTCGTCATGTTGCAACCTCAGCATGTTTTCAATCTTCGACTTTTCGGGTTGTCTATATTTCTCACATACATATTACTACTAGTCTTGTGGGGACCCTGTTGATGTCCATACCCACCTTCATACATACAAGATTCCTCCGTTCCTTTTGAATTGACTATAGGAATGACTGACTTACTATCCTTACTTAGCACTAGATACCCGATCTCTCCGATCATGACAGCAAAAGAAAAAAGAAATTTGATAACTTGTTTGATTGTCCGATTTCAAGTCTAATTCTACCATCATCTTTGTAGGTAATCATCTAACGTAACGGTACACATATCTCAAATCAGCCGGGAGAAACCAAATAAACAGGGTATAAACATCATTGAGGGGACATGATAGCAGCACACAAAAAGCAGGCCGAAAAAGAAGGAGGGAGGCAAAATATTAATCTATGGTATCTTCAACGCATTACTCGTAACACTGCGGAACGCCTGATATAATCAAAAGGACATAGCATCGAAACATGACCTGAGTTCTTTTTCTTTCGAAACCAACGTCCACCATTATAGGTGGGGAATAAGGAAGGGGTAATTCATGTCCCGTTTCACCGTGGTATCCGTGCCCGGTCGGGATCAAAAGGGCGTGGATGTCACTGGGGTGGTTTATCAAGCACATTTTGGAGGAGGCAGGATAACAAAATGACGAACGAAGAGAGAGAGAGAAGAGATCTATGTTACAGCGGGGGGTGTGATGATGATGACTCTGGCACCGGGCCGAGATATCCCGCGCGGTCTTTGAACTGGGTATCTCAATGAGTTCATGAGACGACCGGGGCTGACTCTGTTACAATGGATGCCCATTTGTTCTCTTTCTCTCTCTTCTGCCTGTGCTCGAGTCTTCCTATGGTGGTGAAAGCGGGACGACTCGGATAGTTCGTTTCAAAGCGGGGAGTGGAAATCACCGGAAGGCGATTCACCCCGACGATCCGGGTTCTTGTCGGCCTTTGCCCTTGTCGGTCGATGTCGTGCTGTCGTCCTTGTAGAGGTTGTGTTGTTCAATGTAATGGATTACAGGGACCGGGATCAGGTATCGGACGCTCATGTCACGTCTCAGGAACAGACGGATCTTGGTGCTGCTGACGTCATTTTGGATCAGTTGTTGAATGACATGAATGTTTTTCTTCCATGTTTGCAGGGCAGCGAGCGCTTCGTCAATGTCGGTTCCGGTGCGTTCCACGATGAAAGTCTGGGGAAGGGAATTAGCGGAAATTCCAGAAACTGGGATGAAAAGTGGCAAAAAAACATACACCGTATTTTCCGAGAATGTGGTCAAGATCCTTTTCGCTCCAGACTCCAGGAGTTGACATGGTATGGACCAGATCTGCACCTGCCAGCAGAGCAATCTGGATGGGCTTGCGAGTACCATTGCCGGCCTCGATGCCCTGTCGTACAGTGTTGATCTCATGATCAAAATGGTCCAACACCACGGCTGTCGGTTGGTACTCCTTCTGCATCGGTTCCCACGTATCAACCATCAGCCAGTCGGAGGTCTGATCCACGGCGAGTTGGCACATAGCG